TTTCCTTCTTATTTCTCTGTCTTGCTCATCCATCATTCCTTGGGATTCTTTTGCATCTAAATCCTCAATCTGAATCAATAATCTAGCTTTTACCTCCTCCTTTCTTCCAAATTGATCCTATTCCATTATTTTATTTTGCTCGTCAACCTTTTTAATTTTTTGTGGAATCTAACCCCATTCCATTTCACTTCTCTCATCTCTTCACTCCACCATTTCTTAACCTTAGGCAAAAAATCCGGATGTGTCAGTCACATATTCTCAAATCTGAATGGTCTGGGTCCATTATCAAAAGGTTCTTGTCCTACTTCTATAGGGCAATGATTAAAGGTTATCCTAGGTAGGGCCTTAGCCACCAAACCTCTCCAATGGATCTCCCAACCCTCATTAAATAGGAACCTATCAAGCTTCGAGCAAATTGGGTTTTCTTGGAAATTGGACCAGGTGTAGGTAGCCTGTAGTAAGGGAAGCTCTCGTAACTCATAGGAATTAATGAAGCCATTGAACTTCCTCATACTAGTTGTGATGGCCTGTCTGGGATTATTTGACTCAGTTGTGAATCTTATTGCATTAAAGTTGCCTTCCAAACACCAAGGGCCTTCCCTTAAACCTTGAATTCCATGAAGCTCCTCCCATAACTCATTCCTCTCTCTGTGATTAGTTGGACCATACACATTTCTTAGCACCCAAATGAAACCATCTTCCACCATTCTGAATTTTAGGGATACAGTGAAGTTTCCTATTAACTCTTCTATTGGTTCTACGAAGTCCTCCCTCCACAACATAACTATTCCCCCCGAAGCTCCCCACGACGGAGCTGAGCACCATCTTACCCCTGTTATTTTCCAAACCTCTCTAACCCATCTCCTATCCAATTCAGCTAATGTTGTTTCTTGCAGCATCATAACATCATGTCTTTCTCTCCTAAGTAACTCCTTAATCGATCTCCTCTTTCTAGCACTGCCCAAACCCCTTACATTCCAACTGATTATCTTCATTTACCTTCAAGAATTTAGCCCTCCAGAATTGTGTTCCTTCATTTAGAACTCTTTTTCCTTTCCCCTCTGCCACTGAACTTGATATCCCCTTCAATGTCCATTATTAGTCTCTCTACTTCAGACTTTTTCTTCTTTTTCCTATCCTTATTTCCAACTAACTTCCTGTTCTGTCTTGTATTTCCTAATTCCTGCCCCAATCCATTGGATCTTGCCTCAGATTCCGGGTTATTTGGAATCACCTCTAGCATTTCCTCCTTCTGTTTATATTCCTCCAATAGGACACAAATCTGCTCCTAAATCCATTCTAATTCCTCCTGATTCCTCTCTACCAATCCAACTCCCTTCTCAGTACGTACTCCATCAATATCAATCGCCACTCCCTTGATTCCCTGTAGATGTTACTAGTTCTGGTCTCAAAGAAGACATCCTCAATTTGTTCCGTGACCATCTGTAATAGTATGGTAGGTCACTCCGACAGACATATTCAAGACCTACCCCCTCAACTTCATTTGCGTCTACATCAGGTAACATAGCCTCTGCCTTCCATGTGTTCTCTGATGCTCCAAAATCTCCTTGGGTCATTGATTCTGGGGCTTCAAACCATATCATTGGTAAGTCCAATTTTTTTTTTGGGTCTTATTGCCACTCCTAAGTTCTCACCATAGCAGCTCCGATGTGCATGGTGGTAATACTATGGAGTTCCTCCTGGTTAGGATTCAGATTACGGTTTCTAGAGAGAGAGAGAGATAGTCTAGGCTAAAAAACTCCACTAGCTACCATCTTCAACCTCCGATGAGGGTTGGATCTTGGAAGAAAGAGAGGTAGAGGAGAGAGAGAGAAGGGAAGGGGGTGAACATCAAGATAACAAAGCGGAAAGGGAAGAGAGTGAAAATTGAAACTGAAAAAAATCCAAATTTGTCAATGGTTACCTGTTGGATAACTATGATCCAACCCACCCAAACCATTAAATCTCCCTTTATTGGGTTACCCAACTTGTCAATGACTTAGGATTAAATGGATACAACCCAAATTGTCAGTTAATGGTTGGGTTTAAAAATTGCCAGTTGCCACACCTACTGGAGACAAAGATCTGTGAGCAATGGAGGTAGGGAGGTGATGGTGCTCTTCAGTGCAACGTTTGGATGAAAATGACAACAAGGTTTAGTTTTGCACCTATTTTCTAACTTCTGAACAAAATTACCAAAACACTCTTCCTTACATGTGTGAATCCCACACATGTATACAATTTTTTAAGTTCTGCTAAAACATATGTTATACGTAATGTTCAATTTCCATTGAGTAGCGAGATTTTCTCACTTCCCAGAAACAAACGTTTCTCGTTTATTTGTCAATCCAAATGTATTTTTCGTCCAGAGAAACACAAGAAACAAAAAGAAATATTTCTTTGGATGGATGCCAAATGGGACCTAGAGTGCAATATCTAGCAGCAAAGTGAGTGTCTATGCTTCCATGGGAGCATGCGTTTTTGGAACTATTCTTTGTTCATTCATACATTCTTGCTTGTGCTTCGTTGTATTTATTTCATATTGTTGATGCACTTGTTTGTTCCAAGTTTATTTAACACCTATGAAGTGGTATTGTGTAGCCATCAAGGAAATCATTCTTATTATACATCGTGCTGAAACCACTTTGCAAGTATCAATGCATATTTTTTGATTGTTATTTGTTGAACATTGTGCTACAGAAAAAATCCAATGTATTAGAAGTTGAATCACTGCGAGATGAGTACCATCAAAGAGTGGCAGCTCTTGAAAGGAAGGTGTGTTCTATTTTTGTATCACCTTTGTTGCTCTATGTTAGAATTAGATCTTGTTTTGATATCAAATTTGAGGTTTTAACTGTTTTTGGGCATTAACAAGGTAACCTTAGGCTTTAGTAATTGGTCTCTATTTAATGAGGCGAGAGTTCTTAGCTATGTACCCATTAGTGTTGTTTTCTGTTTTTTCCCCCTATTTTTTGTGTCTTGTAATGGCACGGGACCTCTAGAGATTGCCAACTTACCAACTCCATTGACAATCTTACTTATTGCTTATTGAAAGATATTTCATTTTTGACTTCCCTTTGTTATGCTGTTATTATTAAAGGATACTTTGATCTAATCTCATCAGTTTATTGTAGGCAGTGAATGTGACTTTGAAGCCAATTTAAACTCCATCTTATATTCTATCCAACATTCAAAATTATAATTCAAATGGTCTCTTGGTCTTCTATTGTGTGAGATGAAGGATTGTTGAAAATAAATGTTTGAATATTCACAACTTGTATCCTGTGAAGGTTTAAACCTCATGATGATACATGTCTAATCTATGAATTTGAAATTTATAGAGTTGTAGGGCAATAATGTCTTTATTTATGTTGCTGTTAGCATGTTAGTAGTGTCAGCAAGTTGGTTATTTCAGTTTCTTTCTTTAGTTCCTGATGAGTTGTGTGTTTTTTTTTTTGATCAATAACATCAACTTCATTAAATTAAGAGAAGAGAGGGAATTCCTGATGAGTTGTGTTAGTAAGGGCATTATTGTAAGTTAGCTATCTTTTAAATCTTTAATAAAAATAGCTGATTGGGGTGGCAATGCAAGCTATTACCCACTCTTTTATGAATTCTTTCTCTTTGACTTCTTTCTCCTTTCTTCTTCTCTTACTCTCTTTCTCTCTTCTTCCTCTTCTATTCTCTATTTTTCTTGTTGAATTCTCATCTAGAGTAGGATTGGTCACAGTCTCTACTAGACAAGTAAATTAAGTAATGCTTACAAAAGATCACAAGGACTCCACAAGATCACTCTGTCACTGTCATCTAACTTGTTTTCTTCAACATGGATGTTGAGAACCAGTTGTGATGGGGATTCTAAACAGCCCCTGGAGACATCAGAGGCTGTAATGTTACATGCTCATCTATTATATGGCATGGTGATCGTGCATAGTGCATCTAGTTCTAGGATCTTGAGTTACGCATTACATGTGGTCATTTGCTTTCTGATATGGCATGATGATGGTTTTGGGTCCAACTGGGATCTTTAGTGATGTTTTTCTGCTCATTCCTTGAGTTTTGGGCAGCGGTAATACTTTGATCTTTTCGTTGGATTCATGTTTACTTCAGTTGTTGGGCTCTAGTTTTATTTAATCTATTTTTATTTGTTTGATTTCACCTTATTTAGTTGTTAGGTGCAGTGTTGTTTATTAAGTAGAAGTTTTATTATTAGAGGTATTTTTAGTAATTCAACTGATTGTAGGCTGGCCTCTTCTGCTTGGGGGTTGAGGTGGAGAGTAAATACTTGTTATGTTATATTTTACATTTTTCAATGAAGATTTGAACTTCTTTGCTGCTATTGAGCTTGGTTAGGTGATGCTTTGTTCACTTAGTGTGATTTGTAGAGAATGCTAGAGTGATTCTAAGTTGCCTTTTTGTGTTATCTGAGGGGCGGGAGTTCTTTCAACATGCATTAATTCTCAAAAAGTGATCATGCCACAAAAAAAAAAATCACAAAAAGGATCAAGGCTAATCATTCTATGAAATTCTCTTCAAGGACCTCTTGAAATGGACGAAAGATAGGAGAGAGAGAACTTGGATCTGAACTATGAATCTGTGATGCCTTTCTCATTTGAATTCCTGCCTTTTATAGGCTTACAACAATATAAATTGGGTTCAGTTACAGCCATGGGAATCTATAATCGCCTTCTACTGATGTTGCCTTTGTCTGGAAACTTGCCGGATCAAACCTGAGCTGGAATTGGGCTGAAGTACCATGGGCTGAATGGGAACAGGCCTAACAGCTCCCGTCCCCTCAAGCTGGACCTTGGCATCAAGTTCCAATTGCGGAAAATCTTCATGTAACTTGAAGTAGGGCTCCCAGGTAGTAAATGAGACCATACCACGAGAGCTTCTGATATTACTTGGCCATCCTTCTGGACCCAGCAGAAGCGTGTGATTTTAAGTGGCTCCATGACCAAGGTGCCTTCATCAGTGAACTGAGGTAAATAAGGGGCAGCCCAGTTCACGAGGTTCCCACCAATGTGGGGTCTGGGGAGGGACAGATGTATGCAGCCTTACCTCTGCACATACAAAAAGGCTGTTTCCAAGATTTGAACCCTGGTCACCCAGGTCACAGACTCGCAATGGAACAACCCAACCATTGTGCCAAGGTAAATCTGAACAGCTAATCATTCCTTCTCTGATGCACTTTTAGGAGTGAGACATGAAAAATGGGATGTCTTCTGGAGGAGAGAGGTAGTTTGAGTTTGTAAGCAGCTCCACCAGTCCTTTCTAGAATCTTGAATGGATCAAAATATTTGGGTGCTGATTTGTTCCAACTTCCAAGCATGTCTTGTCACTACGGTTTGCTTGTGAGACTAGGAATGGCAATGGGGCAGGGATCATATTCCTCACCCCCGATTCTGAAATTAACCCCCATCCCCATCCCCATCCCCAATCCTTGCCGGGGATGAAATTTGTCCTCCATCCCCGATCCCTGACGGGGATGGGTTCCCCGCAGGGACCTGAATCCCCAGAATTTTTTTAGATAACAGTATTTTTTTTTGAAAATAAATTTATTTAAAATAAATAAAAATATTAAATTATAAATAATGTTTTAAATACATTTTGATATATATATAATATAAATAATATAATAATATTTACAATATAAATAATATAATAATATTTATTAAATATAAATAACATTTATATATATATATATATATATACCCCATCGGGGATGGGGAAAATTGCCATCCCTATGTGAGGCTGTAATTTCAAGTACACTCAATCACTCACTTGGATTTCAACTGGCCACTGCTTTTTATGATAGGTTCTCTTCATTAGTTGTTGGACCCGAAGAAGGTTGGACTTGAGATCTTGAAGACTAATGTTCTGTAGGATGTGTTATTCCAAAGAGGCCACTGCAATAGAACCTCTCTCATAAGGGATGAGAGGTGGTGGATCCTGTCCATACAAGGCCTTACAGGTGGTGTTATACCACTATTCAGCCCAAGGGAGCCATTTCATTCAACCTTTAGGTCTCTCACCTGCGAAGCAACGAAGGTATGTCTGCAAGCATCAATTCACCACCTCCATTTGACCATCGGTCTGCGGATGATAACTGGTGGACTGCTGGAGCATAGTGCCTTTGAGCTTAAGGAATTCCTACCAAAACCTGTTCATGAACACCGAGTCTCAGTCTGATATGATAAAGCGAGGTATCCCATGCAGCTGTGCCACTTCTTTCACAAACAACTTGACAACCAATGCTGCACTGTAGGAATGAGGTTCAACAAAATGACTATGTGGTAAAGTGATCAATGACAATAATAATGACTGATTTGCCGGAAAATACTGGAAGGCCAGGCACAAAGTCCATAGATATGTCTTCCCACACTGATTGGGAATGAGCAGGGGTTGAAGTAAACCTACTAGCATTTGAGTGTCATATTTCTTTGCTGGCAGGTAGAACATGCTGCAACAAACTGTGAACTTGGCCTCTCATTCCCTTCTAGAGCTGAGACGCTAGTTCTGATAGGTTCTAAGCACCTTAGAGTGGCCACTGACAGGAGAAGAATGAAATGGGTCCAGTAATTGTTGTATATGGGCTGAGTTTTCTAGGATTACCATTTGGCCTTTATAGAATAAGAGTGCACCCTGTAATGAGCAATACTGAGAGAACCGGATTGGGCATAGACCCAGAAAAGGGAGAGGTTCATGGGTCAAAGGTTGAATTGGGGTTGAACCGTGATGGTGATATATATGTGTGTATGTATGTATATAATATGCACAATTATATAATACATATGCAATAGTTTTAATTATATAAATATATTCAAAATATATAATTATATTTGCTATAACATATACTTATTTTATTTTAGTTCCATTTTTTATTTTACAAATTAATATTTACGGCCAAAAAGGCATTTTTTGGCAAAAATAGTAGGGCAGGAAAGGTGCCTTTGGGCCTTGGGAAAAAAGATCACCCAAATCGGACATTTGACTACAAAGTTATGGCCTCCAGAAGTTTGCATATTAAGTAAAAAAAGCTAAACAAAACTGGCTGGTTTTATGAAACTGGGACTGGTTCACTGGTGGTTTTCTGGTTGGGCCTGTTGGTCAGCTGGTTTTGGCTGTTTTTTCATGACTTCTGGTTTTAGGGGTATGACTGAACCGCTAGGGGCCTGGTCGCGGTTCAACCAATCTGGCCAGTCAGTCTGGTCCGGTTTTCTAAACATTGGTATTGAGTAGCCAGGCATGGCAGATGGGTTCTGGGCCCATTTTTTATACGAGGCCTGAAGTTGTGGATGGTTAGCTGATTCCCTTTGCAAGTTTGCAATCAGAGGGTAAGTGGGCCGATACATTAACATGGGTCCAAGCCCCTGATTGAAACTCTGCAATAGAAATATAGAACTATGGAGGGGTTCATTTTTTTTTTTTAATATTTCCTTGATGATCCTATTCTACCTCCCCAGCCTATGCTTCCTGCTTTCCATGAATTCTTTAGAAAAAGAAGAGGATCAATAGATAACGACGTTCTATACAGTCAATGATGTTCTTCATCTTTAATCCTTTCCTTAGTTATTTATTACTTCTTGTTCATCTGGGCCTTTGAAACCTAAAATATTCTAGCCCTTCATAAGCCCTAGGGAATTTTGAGAAAATTCATTATAGCCTAACTAACCATTCTATCCACTGCTATTGTGACCTTTGGAAACTTTCAAGTACTAACCTAATAAGGGCCTTTTCTCAATCCTGGCTATCTGGGTCTCTTGGATTTTTTTTTTTTTGAAATTTGAGCACTTTAATATCAATCACGTACTGAATAATCAAAGCCTATTAACCTTAATCCCAATTTAATGCAACCCATGGTTTTAGAAGTCATGAGATCTAAACTCATCTGCATTATTCCATTTGATTTAATCTTTACTCAGAAACATGTAATTTGCTTGAAGTCTGCAACTTCTTTTTGGTTCTTTACCAAACTGGCTTGAGTACCATCCATGAGTTTGGTGGATGTTCTCAGTGTACTTTTCTTCAACTGCTTTCTGTGAAAGCATTTTATTGGTGATAAAGGATTGATTTTTCTCACTGTGTCATGTATGTTAGATCCTTCAAATGTTCTAAGTTTTCTTAATGTTCAGTTGACAAATTTTCTTAAGCTAACAATAATGTTTTTTTTTTTCTTTTTATGCATAAAACTAATTCTATAGTATGGGGACTGGGGAGGGGGATTTCCATATCCAACCAACCCCTCATTCTGCTTGGATTTTAGATCAGCTGATCTTCTAGAAAATAATATTGCAAGAGCAGTAATATCGAGAATAAGCTTTTCTGTGGTATATCATTTCTGAGTTGAAGATATTCTTGTATTTTTGTATTGGGTACCTGGGATTGCCCATTTCTTGTATTGAGACCTTGAATTTATTATTGTCCGTCTTTACATAATTTAATGCAATACTTTTTGTTCTTATTAGAAGATGTTATCAATAAGCTAAACAAACGATAATAATCTGTAATTTCATAAGGTGTGTGGATTCTCTGGCTTTTGTTTTGCAAACAATGACATGCAATTGCACTCATGCTTTCAGGTTTATGCTCTTACTAAGGAAAGGGATACACTGCGGAGAGAGCAAAGTAAAAAAAGTGATGCTGCTGCACTTTTGAAAGAAAAAGATGAGATCATCAATCAAGTAATGGCTGAAGGTATGGTAATGAATCTGATGCCATATTTACTCTGTTACGGGGATGTTCTATAGCTCTTTCATGGTTAATATCTTGAGTCTAAATATATAACTCTAAATTTCAGTCATTAGGGGATGACACTCAATCAACATGGTAAAGGCATGGAAAATGGCAGGCAGATAGGGGGAAACACCTTATTGCCCAAGTGCAAGAATAATGTTTATCAACTACTTTCTGCATTTAAATTCATAATTGAAAAAAAATTATTTGGCATTTTTTAGTAATATGCATTATGATATGCCATTGTAGCAGTGTGTGACATAATAGGATGGATATGTTATTTCGTAGGCAGAGTAGAGTCGCCAACTTACGTGGTTAGGGATGCAAAGGTGTTGGCATCTGGGATAAACATTGTATAGTCACTTGTTGTAAAGGACCAATATGAAGTAGTTTTCTACATTCCCATATTGCTTCACTTTAAATTAATGCAGTTATACTTTACCATTTAAAAAAAATCTGGGATCAAAATCTCATTATATTCAATCAAACAAGAAGACTGATTGAATTGGAGTCCGTTCGGGGATTTTGATTTGGGTTCTTGTTGGGTGGCGGCTGTGGGTGCTTGGGGCTTGAAAGGGAGTCGTTTTGGTTGTTTTAATGATCGGGTTTTCATTGTTTGTTTTGTATCGCTTTTGTTTCCTTTTGTAAAGGGTTTAGTTTGTGAGGGGTCAGCCTGTCTGGGGTGTTTTGGCCTGGCCGGGTTTTGTTTTTTCTTAGTTGGGTTTTCATTGAGTGTTTGTGTTTCTTTTAACTTCTTTTTGCTTAATAAAATTTTTTCTTAATCTTAAAAAAAATATTGGACCACGTGCATCCTTGAGTTTGGTGGTTTCTATGTACCGTTCTCTTTATTATTTTCTTTCTTTTAATATAAGTTTCTTGTTATTGTTCAACAGAACCAAAAGGGTATGCAAAGGTACCTATCGTTACCTGAATATAGATCAGGTATGCATGTTTGATGCAGGAGCCAAGTGGTCAGACACGGGATGTTTTGAAATTTTATGCATGTTTGCAATTTTAGACAACTGCATATTTTTTTGGTAAATTTACATTTTTGTGACCTGGGGGGTGGGGTCAGCCTAGTAGTTTGATCTGTCTAGTTCTATCCTAACTTTTTTTGAGATAAGTTATACCCTAACTTGGTCAAATAATTTAAGAGTTATTTTCTTATGATAGTGGCAATATGGTATTTCCATATTTCTGAGTTAGTATGGTTGGCCACCCTCATAGTGTCTATGCATATGTATGAAGTTCAAAAGCATAAAGGGATAACTGAAGAGAGTTTGTTTGAGGTTTTTACAGCTTAAGTGCAATGAGTAATTCCCATGCCCTATCATGATTCTATGGACCTTACTGGATGATTTTGAGTTTTTTGCCACCTCTCTCTCTCTCTCTCTCTGCCCCCATCTTCTCTTTAATTTTGCAAGCAGCCATTACAGCCATCAACAGTCATAAGTTCATCACAAAGTGTTTATTAAATGTTTCTAGAGGATTGAAACTGATATGGTGAGCTTTTCTTTATTTTTCATCAAAACTCATCCAAACTTGAAAATTTTGCGTCCAACCATTTCATCCTTTTGTGATGGACCATCTCCAAGCTCCCATATTTGGAGCTCCCATAGAAACCTTTAATTATACCAAATTTTATCTTGGAACTCTATCTAAAACCCTAGTTTCCAAACTTTTTGTATTTTTTACAAAGCAAATTTTTTGTTTTTTGTGCAAGGTGCACTCTGAAGCTTGCTGAACTTGGTTTCCCTCTGGAACCATCCAATCTAAATCTACATACAAAGTATTGTTTAAAAATCTCAAATCTAGCCATGTTTTCCTCAATTTGAAGCTTTTTATGGTTTTCGGCCATATCTACAATTTTTGCAATAAGCTTTGAATATGCTTCTTAACTTGAGCAATCTCTATCTTTTGTCTTAATATCACCTGTAAACCCTATATCTACCAACCAGTACCTTCCTAGACTTACCCTTTGGTCATAGTTCATCCTACATCAATTGGTATTAAAGTAGGTTTTTTGATAGACTAGTTGCATGGCATGTGCAAGGTAGAGATCAAAGACTCAAGACCAGACACAGAACTGGAAATTTTTCCAGGTCACATGTCAAATAGTTTGACCGTGAGTCATATAAATAATATAGATAATAGATTTTGTGATTGTTTTTGATCAATGGTTTTGTGATATATATTACGTGTGTAAGAGGTGGCTAAATGGTTAAGCCGCTGGTTTTTGATACAAATGCCTAGGGTTAAAGTCTTACAACTTGCCATTTTGAAGTTTGTAACGATTTAGTGACTCGGATGGGTCATGAAAGCCAGCTGAAACCTTGAAACTTGGCTGGTTTTCAATGGTTCCTCTGGGTTTTGACCAATTTGACTGTTTTTCCAGATTTCGGAAAACTGGGGTATTAAAAAACTGGAATAACCTCTGGTTCTTGGGTTTCATGTCCGGCCAGCTGGTCCGGTCTGAGTCTTGCAATACTAAAAGAGATAGGAGTGGTTAAAAAAGATAGATAAGATGAAAATTGAATAAAGTTGGGTGTGCAACTCTTTCCCTTCAAAATGATTAAACAATTTAATTTAAAAGCATCCAATAAAATCTCTTTGGGAGGTCTTTGGTTATGTGGCAAAGACTGAAGGCTGACGTGGCAGTTGCAGTGAGAAAGAGTTAGAGATGTGAGAAAACGTTGAGAGAGAGGAGATGTTGGGACAATTTTATAGGTTATAAATTATTATATAGGATGCAGATACATGGCAGTTAGAAGGGATAGGGTAGGTTATTGAAATCGGTAAAGATGCATTACAAAAAAGTCAAAAAGGAGGGTGCAATTCATTCGAAGGAATTTAGACTAATTAGCTTGGTAAACAGCTTGTATAAAATCATTGCTAAGGTGCTCTCGAGGAGATTGAGAGTTGTGCTCCCTCACATCATTTCACAAAATCAAGGAGCTTTTGTAAGGGATAGGCAGATAATTTTTTTTTGATCAATAACTGTGGGTTGTATTAAAATTAATAATATGAAAAAGTTACAGGGATAGGCAGATATTTGACCAGATCTTAATTGCCAATGAGAGTGTGGAGGATTTGAGAAGAAGTGGAAGGAAAGGTTTGGTGTGTAAACTGGACTTGGAGAAGGCCTATGATTTGGTGGAGTGGTCTTTCTTTCTGCAGGTGATGGAAAGCTTTGGATTTGAGGCAAAGTGGTGCATGTGGATAAAGGGATGTTTCGAGACTTGTCACTACTCCGTTTTGGTTAATGGGACGGTGGTAGATCGCTTCCCTGCATCTAGAGGGATTAGACAAGGAGACCACCTCTCTCCTTGTTTGCTTTGATTGCTGAAGCCTTGGATAGGCTGATTACAAGGGCTAACTCTAGGAGCCTAGTGAGAGGTTGGAGGGTAGGTAGAAATAGGGTTCCATTCACTCGTTTGCAGTTTATTGATGATACTATTTTGTTTTGTGAGGGCGAGGAGATTAGTTGGGTAAGGAACTTAAAGTTGGTGATCCAACTCTTTGAAAAAATGTCCAACTTAAGAGTCAACTTTGATAAAAGCTATGTGGTGGGGATCAATATGGATGAGAGGGAGGTGGCGGAAGGGGCGGAAATTTTGGGTTGTATGATTTCTGAATGGCCTCTAAATTACTTGGGGCCACCTTTAGGGGATAATCCAAGAAATATTAATTTTTGGAACCCTGTTGTGGATTTAACCTGCTTGTGTATTTCTTGCCAGTCTTTAGGGTCCTGGTTGGAGTGAGTAGAAGGCTGGAGAAGTTGATGAGAGATTTCCTTTGGGAGCCAGGTGAGGAAAAAAGAGATCATAGAATTGCGTGGGAAATGGTTACTAGAGGAAAGAATAAGGGTGGTCTAGGTATAGAAGGCATTCAGGAAAGGAATTAGGCTCTTTTGGGGAAGTGGTTATGGAGACTACCAAGGGAAAAGGATAAACTTTGGGCCAAGGTGATTGTAAGTATTCATGGGCAAATGACTGATGGTTGGGATGCTGGAGTCCTGGCTAGGGCTACATGAGCTTCTTCTTGGAGATCTATTCATGCTATTCTCCCTTCCTTCTTGGCTTATATCAGGTATGACCTTTGTTCTGGCAATTGGGTGAAAATTTAGGAACATAAATGGGTGGGGGATGTCAGCTTGAAAGAGCAATTCCCCTCTTTGTATTCCCTGTCCTCCTTTAAAGATGAGCCAGTGTCCACTTTTTTGGTTCCTTCAGACTCTGGTTCTGGGTTTGATTGGGACATGGGTTTTAGATGGGGCCTTGAGGATTCTGAAATCCTTTCTCTCTTGGTTCTAACTCAGATCTTGGGTGGGGTGGTTTTGTAACCGGGGTAGGGGGATAGTAGGATTTGGACTTTGACCTCCTTTGGGATGTTTTCTTGTGCCTCCTTTTTCAAAGTCTTAATGCAGTCTTATGATAGCCTGGGGATTAAATTTCCTGTCCTCGAAGTTTGGGGTAAACCGATTCCTCCTAGGATCGGGGCTTTTTGTTGGGAAGTCTTTCTCCTTGTGATTTGCTCCAAAGAAAAAGACCCAACTGGTGCTTATCTTCCAATTGGTGTGTCCTCTGTATGGCTAATGGTGAAAACTGCTATCACCTATTAATTTTCCTGCCCTTTTGTTTCAGATGTTTGGCTTTGGTTTTTCTCCTTGTTTGACTGTAGGTGGACCCCTCCTCTGGATGTACAAAGCTTGTTTGCCTCTTTTTTTTTCAGATGGCCAAAGAAGGTGGGTAGAACTCTATGGAGATGTGTTAGGGCTGCTAGTTGTTGGACTGTTTGGGAAGAAAGGGACTCAAGAATATTCTCTGATAAGGAAAGGAGTAAGGAAGCTGTTATTGAGGTAGTCACTATTAGAGTGGTATAGTGGGTGCAGTCTCTGGAATTGTTTGAAGATATTTCCACTGACATGATCAGAAGAAATTGGAAGGAGTTTGCAGATTCAGCCCCGGAAAAGACCAAAATTGTTTCCCTTTGGTCTCCACCAGCCACTGGGTTTGTGAAACTGAACTTTGATGGCAGTAGTGAAGGTAATCCAGGGCCTTCGGGCATAGGTGGAGCCTTTAGAAATGGAGGAGGAAAAGTCATTGCTTTATATTCTGGTCCTATTGGTGTTGGTGACTCAGTCCAGGCTGTGGTCTTGGCAGTGATGGAAGGCATGAAGAAGGTTAAGGATCTGAACTGTCGCAAGCTTATTGTTGAAGGGGATTCAAAGCTGGTTATTGGATGGCTGCAAAAAGAAGATAGTGGTCTATGGAAGTTTACAAATGAAAAAAGATTGTTTAATCGGTTAGCAGGATTGGAAATTCAGATAAAATGGGTAAAGAGCAAGGTTCAAAATTTCGTCACGTATTGGCCCGTATCGGGGCCTTCCTGATACGCCCCTATAGGGGGTGTTTTGGGTTGGCGAGTGGTTCAGGGGGTAGGCCGGCCTTAAACCAGCCCCTCTGAACCAGATTTGAAAAAAAAAACAAAAAAAAAACAGTACTGATACAGGCCAATATGCCCTACCGGCGTATCGTCCTGTATCAATATTTTGAACCTTGGTAAAGAGAAGTGCCAATTCCTTTGCGGATACTCTTGCTAAGCAAGGGGTGGGAAGGGAACAATTGTTTTGGGCTATGTTGTAATTTGTTTGTTGTTTCCCCTCGGGGAGGGTTAAGAGGTTTTACCTCTCCCCTTCTTCCTTGTACTTATTTCTCTAATCTTTAATGAATGTTCTATGCTATTCATAAAAAAAAAATCAATGGGGATAAGGTGGAAATTTGAATAAAAAGAAGGGATATTTTAAGTATATAAAAGTTCGAATGTCAACCAAAGATGGGTGTGAAATGGTTGATGGGCATGAAACTCTCTTATATATATAGAGAAGAGATAGATGTAGAAGAGATGATCCTGCATCATTTGATATCAGATCAGCTGTTCTATCTCTCTTCCCCATTCCTAGCACAATAGCAAAGAGAATTGAAAAATTACATAGGGATTTTTTATAGAAAGGGTGGGAAGATGAAAAAAAAGATCCACATGATTGCATGGGATCAGATCTGTACCCCATGGAATTCAGGTGGTTTGGGACTGAGAAGAATCAAAACCTTCAACACAGCCTTATTGGGTAAGTGGATCTGGAGATTTGGAGTGGAAGAAAACAGTTGGTGGAGGAATCTCATTGCATTCAAATATGGTCTTCAATCGGGGGGATGGACAACTGCTCTCAACTTGCCTTCATATGGATGCTCAATATGGAAAGCTATTTTGAAAACTCTTCCTAATGTCCTAAAAGGGGTGAGTTTCAAGTTAGGTGATGGGGGAAGAATCCGCTTCTGGAAGGGTAAGTGGCTTGCCGAGGTTCCTCTGGAGGAGAAATTTCCTATGCTCTTCTCAGTGGCTGAGGATAAAGAGGCAATGGAAGCCTAATTTCCTAAGAGATTTCCATGACTGGGAGGTGGATGAAGTTGTGGATTTGCTAAGTAGCTTAGATACATTCTCTTTTCAGCCCTACTCAGAAGACCAATGGATCTGGAATTGGACTGCTGATGGAAAGTTCTCAGTTAGTTCGTTTGCTGATGGTCTGACTATTAGAAGGGCAACTGATTTCCCCTGTAAACAGATTTGGAAACCCCATTCTCCCTCCAAAATCAATTTCTTGATGTGGGCCTCTGCACTTGGGAAATGCCTAACAAGAAGCAATCTAGCAAGAAGAGGTGTCAGCCTGGATGACATTAGCTGTGGGGTATGTGGTCTTGAAGAGGAACCGTTGAACATCTCTGTATTCATTGCAAGCTCGCCTGGATTATTTGGTCTCATTTCTTGGATGCTGTTGGTGTTTGTTGGGTAATGCCGGGTACAATGAAGGATCTGCTTCATAGCTGGCACCTTCTGGGCCTCTCGAAAAAAGGCAAATACATATGGAGAGCCATACCAGAAGCAGTAATCAGTACTATATGGTCTGATTGGAATGACAGTCTTCAGAAAAGAGAAGAAAAACCAGAGGTGTTAATCCAGTGTATTGTGGCCAGACTTGCTTCTTGGCTTTCTATCATCCCTGAATTTTGTAATGAGAACTTGTTTATGATGCTTAGATCAGTTAGTCTGTGGGAGTTATGATCATATCCTTTTGGGGGCGAACTGGCTTGCGGTTTCCCCCATTCTTGTATGATTATCTGTTCTTCATAAATAAACTTTACCTTACCTCTTTTCAGAAAAAAAAAAAGATATCAGATCAGCTGTTCCTACATCACTTTGGTATCCAATTCCAAGCAGGCATTCCTACATCAATATGATGCCTATGAGTTATATATTCCTATTCTGTATTGTGTCACTGCCTTGGCAAATTTCTGGGCTGGGCTTGGGCCCAATACTTCGGGACTGATCCGGCATTCTGGCCCACATTATATTTGCATTATATATATTGGAAAATCTATGCTGCCGGAAGACTGGAAGAGCTTTGACCAATAGCCCCCCTCCTCCATGTGAATATTGATAAATACTACCTGATTGGTTACCACTTTTATGATAATGGTTGATTGGTAACAAGTTTTTCCAGTATCATGTCTTTTTGGTATCATAGTTGAGCAGTGAGCCCTATATATATTTTGTTTACATATATATAATAAATATTATATGATATATTATATAAAATATTATAAAATGACATATAATACAAATTACTGTATATATTAAATATAACATATTTAATGACATAGGCCCAAAGCCTGGCCCACCCCGGCCCAGGCCTATATAGACCTGGACCAGGCTATAGCCCTTATCATAGATGCTAAGCCTGGCCCGACCCAGCCCATGATCACCCCTAATGTCAACTATATGGACTTATACATATCGATACTTTAGATGCTGGTGTTATCCTTCCTAAGTTTTAGTTCTCAGCATGCTACACCTTGATAAATGTGATACTTTACAGTGTTTTCTTGTTTTAGCACGGTAAAATATGTAAATAGAGAAGACAGGATTGTCTTGTGTTATTTATTTTCGAATTATGAATTCTTGTATCAAGTATCATCCAGTTCTTCTTTGAATTCTTTAGTTGATTTGATTCTTGGTAAAGTTTAATCAGGTTCTTTCATTACATATTGATTGAACATAATCTGATTTCATGTCAGGTGAAGAGCTTTCTAAAAAACAAGCAGCTCAAGAGTCACAGATCAGGAAATTAAGAGCACAGGTATATAACAAAGTGATTTGATTTTTTGACTGTCTGAAGTTGATCTTCTTGACAGTTTTATTCAGAAGAATAATTTAATGGTCCTTTATTCTAATTTTTTCCTGTGGAAGCTAGATCAGAGAGTTTGAAGAAGAAAAGAAAGGGTTGATTACCAAACTTCAGGTATTTAAGTTCTAAAGAAATGCAGTCTCTTTTTCCCTTTAGTGGTGGATTATTTGTAAAATATAGGCCTGATTTTTCCACTTTTTCATCTTCAGTTCTGTTTGATTGCAATGTTTATGACATAGAATGGTTCAGTACCTTTTGTGCCTTTCCTACAAAAAGATGTTATCCAAAGACGTGTTTGTGTGCACTAAAATTTCTGGAAGTTAAATGTCTTTTGTTGAAATATATGCCTTTACCGATATAAAAAGAAAAAGATGAAATATATACCAAATGGAGATCGTCATTGTCATCACCCAAGCCTTATCGCAACTATACCTAATGAAGATATATGATACTAAAGTTTACACATTCTTGGCCATTGCAGGTATTTGGGCTTATACTGTGAAACCCAGCCTGGATGTTTAACGATAGGTCTTGGTATTCCAGTCAGTTGCTCTATGAGGTTGGCCTAGTGATGTAAACTGATGGTACAGAAAAATACTTCCATCAAGATAATACTGCAAAAGAAAAATGAACATAAAAAAGGATTCACCTATAGTGTTTTCAGTTTAGGATTTCTTACCACTTCAGAAAATATCATGGCTTTTCTGATTATTGAACTTCTCAGCCATCTTCCCCAACAATAAGGAGTGCGTAAACTTGCATGGTCATCTATTTCTGGATACTGGTTTCCTTTCCTTTAGGTGCTTATTTGCATAGTTTTTAAAGTGCCAATAGGGAGTACACACTTATCCACTAACCCGTTTCTCCTTAATAAAGTGTTTGCCCACCTTGATGTGTTTTCTCTACTAACCTGTTTCTCCTTATTGTCACAACTCAATAAAACTGTAAATCCCAGTTCACCCAACAAACTCTTTATCCACATAATCTCAGTCCCCCCCCCCCCCCACACACAAAAGTACAGTAACCATTAGTGGGTTTTCTGTTATCAATAGATCCATCTCAATTAGTATTTGTATACACTTCAATTTTCAAGTGCCCATAGTAAGCTAGCCCCTGGAAACTTCTTTAGGTACTTAAGGATCCTTAAGTTGCCTCTAAGTTAGTTGTCTTAGGGGCATGCATGAACTGATTAAGGACACCCACGGCATAAGCAATGTCAGGTCGGGTCATAGATAGATACAAAAGTCTCCCCACAAGTCTTTGGAACTGCTTCACATCTTTTACAATTTCACCATGGTAATCACCCAACTTATGATTGGGATCAATATGAGAGTCAAGCGACTTCACTCCTAATTTCTCCAATTAGGATGTACTTCCTTTGAGAAATGAAGATCCCCTTTTGTGAGCAGGCAACTTCAGTTCCAAGGAAATATCACAAGTACTTAGATCTTTCACCTTGAACTGAGTGGCTATGAACTCTAACTGGTGAAGGTTTTTTTTTTTTTGGATCAGCAAAGGAGAATTTAGTTTTTTTTTTATCAATAACAACATTTCATTAATTAATCACAAAAGTAATTACATGGAGGAAGATAAACTTTCTTATCTTCCAACTGGAGCTTGAGTTCCCAAGAACAGAAAAAAGAAAAAATTACACTTGTGCCCAAAACATTGACTCCCTCTCGACTCCTTGCTTTAGCTAACCCATCAGCAAAAGAGTTAGCTGATCTTTTTACCCAGCTGATCTTAACTTCCATCTCTTGAACCAGCCACCTAAATTTCCTCCTCTCATTACTGTACATCCATAACCTGCTATTTTCTTTATTCAGCCACCCTACCACCACCTCCTAGTCCCCTTCAATGACGAGTTTTCTTATATTCATCTCCTTAGCTCTTTGGACTCCTTCCAAAACTGCAAAGATCTCAGCCCCAAGAGAGTCACCCACTCCAATTGGGCCTCAGAACATGGCTGAAACAAACCCATTCTCATCCCTAAACACACCTCCAATCCCCAATTGTCCAGGATTCCCCCAACTATTGCCATCGAAGTTATTTCAGCCACTGTACTACCCTTATATGGATCAGTTCTCTCAGTTCTTCATTGCCTCTCTCTACTTCATAGAAGATCCTGGAATTTCTTTCCTCCCACATAGCCCAACATACTGCGGCCCTCAAACATCTCCACATGGTCCTTCCCTTTTCATTTGGCTCCTGAAGAAGGAAGGGGGAAAAAGGCTTTACAAATTTGATGGAGGATTCTACCTACACCCAAATGGACTTAGCAAACTGGCAAATTGCCAGTAGATGAAAACCAGTCTCCCCATCCGCTTTATAGAGAACACACCTGTGAGGGGATAAACATGTCTTGGATCTCTTCTTTTGGAGCATATCACCAGTATTGATTCTTTCCAGAAAAGCTTCCCAGCAAAAACTACCAACTCTAGGGGGGATTGGTCTGCACCAAACCTCATTAACCGGGAAGGGAGGGGCAACAGGACTAGGGGGCTGACTTAAGACTTTGAAAAAAGAGGCACAAGAAAATGAGCCAGTGGGGGTGGGGGTCCAGATTCTAGAATCCAACTTAGTAGGGTCCAAGAAAACATTATCAAGGATACCAAGGAGGCTCGAGATACTATCCAAGTTTGTATCTCTCACAACCCTTCTCAAACCTAAATTCCACCCAAACCTAGAAGAGGAAGATGAGGGGGTAATGAAGGAAGAAACTGGCTCATTTTTTAATTCAGAAAGGGCATACAACAAAGGAAACATGTCCTTAAGAGGGGCATTCCCCACCCAAATTTGTTCCCAGAATTTTATGGAGTTACCTGGGTTAAAATCATACCTGATGAGGGGAGAAAGTTGGAAGCAGATCATGAATGGCTTTCCAAGGTGACACACTTGTGGTCTTAGCTCAGATCCCAACATCCCATCCATTTTGCTCCAACCCATGTATGCTTACCACTACTTTAGCCCATAGTCTCTCCTTTTCTATTGGGAGTCTCCACAGCCATTTCCCCAGAAGAGCCAAATTCCTTTTCCTGATGTTCCCATTTCCCAAGCCACCTAGATTTTTGCTTCTGGTCACCCACCTCCCAACTCACCCTATGGTCCCTTTTATCCTCTCCTGGCTCCCATAGGAAATCTCTCATCTTCTCCAATCTGTTAGATATCTTTGCTGGGATTTTGAACACTGAAAGGAAATAAATGGGTAAGTTAGCTAAAGTAGCCTTAATCAGTGTAATCCTCCCTCCAAGGGAAAGGTAATTCTTCTTCCAAGAGGCAAGTCTCTTTTCAAATATTTCCACCACCGGATTCTAGAAACTCTCTTTCTTTGGGTTATCACCCAAAGGCATCCCTAGGTAATTCAATGGCCATCTTGAAACTTTACAACCCAACATTTTTGCACTTTTCCTAATCTCTCCCTCCTCCAAATTCACACCCACTATACAACTTTTCTCAAAATTCACCTCTAGGTTGGACATTTGTTCAAAGAGTTGTATTACCAACTTCATGTTCTTGATGTACCTCAAGCAAGGTTTAAAATGTCGCTTACCAAAATATAGGACATATGTTGGAAATGTCGAGGGGAAATATTGTAAAAATTAGAGACATTGTGGAAATATTATGAAATATGTGGAAATATGCAAAGATATTTTGTAAAATGATAAAAGAAGCATTAATACA